CCAGTCTTACATTTAGACCGGGAAAAGTTAAAAATATAGTTAAAATTATATTAAGTTCGTCGATAGATGTTTGCTTGGGTTCTTCGAAACATGAGGAATCTTTTTCAGCGTCCACAGCTTCCATAATGAGAGCCAAACGTGGGTTCCGGAAATACGACATCACCTAGAGCAAATAAATGCTTTTAATCTATATATATTTTTTTATAGACTAAAAAAATGTTTCACTATTGTAACTAGGCATACCTATCATAAAATTTACTCATTGCTTATTGAAAACTGTAATTAACGAAATAGGCACCCTTTAGTGATAAATATTATTAGATAAATACCTAAAAAAATAAAGGCAAACTGTGACTATACCAACTGTTACCGTTTACCAAAGAAATTTTATAATGAATTGTGTATTTTTTTTAAACGAAAACTGTGTTTAAACATATAGTCACACTTTACTCATTAAAAAAACCAAACAACTTACCATTTTTGTGTCGAACGGCCGTTACTATCCAAATAATCACATTATGAATTTAAACTTTCGTCATCACTCCGCAAGAAACACGTTCTTACTTGCATAGACCCGTTATTGTATTTAGCGAGCCGTTCAAAGTTTGGCTTAGTAACGTTATGCTTTAACGCTAGATGGCGTAAGAAGGCAATTTTGAAGAAGTGGTCTATTTCATATTATAGTTTACGTGTCCTTTAGTAAGATGGCGTTGATAACTCATTTTTGCGAAAAATTCGTTTAGTAACGGTTTAACTTTAAAGGTGCGAAATATTAAAAGAGTATGTTGAACATAAATATTATGTTACCTTAAATGAAGATCATTCATAATTTATCCGTAGATCAACTAATATAGACCCAATAATTAATATAAAGATAAAATATAATAAAATACATCATTTATTTTTAAAAGTGCACATACAAAAAAGATCAATTAGTTTTTAGAGGATCAAATAATATTGTCCCTTAGAAATTCACACATACAAAGTAATCAAAACATTTGCTCATTATCCACTGCGGTATCAGTACTCAACGTTCGAATAATCTTTAGTACTACGCAAGCAATGTAAACAGTTTACATTATGTCGTCGCTGCTGTCTTCATTGCTGTCACGAGCAATGTGTTCTGTTTTTGGGCATATTGCTGCGACGGCCCCGCCCCCTTGTCACATCTCCCTTTAGTTTCTGTGATCTGTGATGGGGACCTATCTTGTTCCATTCACGTAATACAGTCTTAAAAGGGCAATTAGTAGGCGCTAATACGGCCTACGTAAAGATACCCACTTACCCAGTTTATCCGTAGGTAGTACTTACCCACCAAAAGCCTGTACCTAACCCACTCAAAATTAATCCAGGCTGAAAAACTTTTACACAGAGATAAAGTTGGTATTTGGCTTTACTTTCTGCCTAATGGCCTGGGATATTAGTTGGCCGAAATTCAAACAGTTTTTAGGCACTTAACATGATTTATTGACCCTCCAAAGCCGTCCTGTAGCCAGAATAACCTCTGCTAATATTAGTCTCATGAATAATTCAGGTATTTGAGAAGAAACATGCGTGGTAGGTAGTTTTCAACCGACTTCAAAAAAAAGGAGGAGGTTCTCAATTCGACCCGTATGTTTTTTTTTTTCTATGTTTGTTACA